GATTATTCAAAGGTTATATCTATGGTCTAAAGCAAATCTAGCAAAAAGCATTCAGGAAATCGATCTCTAAAGAAGCTGATACTAACTACATCGATAAATTAAGTCAGTTTACCTAAATATCTGGTTTCTCATTTACTCTACTATGAATAAAAGTTAAGTGGGCCTCGAAGTTCCTACCATTTCTATGCCATGGAATCTTAAAACAAGTGCCTAATGCTTTCGTCCAAAATAAAATCTCGTGAACGCAAAGAAGGAAGTAATTATCAAAATAATGCTGACTTTCTTAATTAGATAATGATAGTTAAACGACAAGTTTTTACCCTCTCAGGACCAAACTTCTGTGCATATGGAGGATTGCAACTTATTATTGTTTCCTGAACCACTTGTCGCCATGAGAGCAGATCATGCCAGAAACCCAGATTGTCAGAAAGAAGAGGTGGCCGACTTCTGTATAATGGTATAAATGGCAAAAGAAAAAAGTCTATAATATTTAATCAACGAAATGAGTGATATGATAAAAAAAGATTGATTTTAAATATAAATTTAGGTGGCATTGGCATGATATAGATTTATTGGATTCATGGAAGAATTAAATTCGCTGGCAATGTCCTTCATAATAGCGGAAAATCTATTAATCCATAAACAGTAAAGGATCTTTAGTGAGCACCAACTACTAAATAATATGTAATAGATGATAGTTTAATAGTAAAATATGACACTTCATAGTCAAGAGTTAATAGTAGTCTCAAAAACTTACTCAATACGAACACAATGACAAACCCACTATTGCAATGCGATATGGTAAATACGTGGCTTGATTTGAAAGCACGTGACCCACTGGCCCGGGAAGTGGTTTGGCAGAGGTAGTATATCGAAACTAATTATCCGGATTCGATTCCCACTGTGGGTGCTTATGAGGCCTAGGCAAGGTCAAGACTGCAGTATAGTCCGGTCTGGATTAGAATACTTGTTAGAATGTAGGACTAAGTTCGATTCACTAGCATCGTTAGATCTTTCCATATTATTTTGGAGGTACTCTCTACCAATCTCTCATCAACTTAAATGACCTAGGGTAAATATAGTTCTTATTTAAGAGCTTTTGTCAGTTCTCAAAGGCTACTTATTACGGTAACATAAAAATTATACAAGACAGTTAAGTTGGTTCAGGCCAAATACATTTTTTTAAAAAGGTATCTAAAAATGATGCTTGATGATGATAAGTAGCATCAAACGGATGCCCTCTGTTTAACAACGTATAGTGACAGAGGAAAATGTCTTATTGACTTCCGAAAAAGTTACGGAAATAAAGTCAAAGATAAAGTTAGTGCTTATAGAATTTAAATAATTCAACATTTATAGCCTTAGCAGCTTTACTAAAATATATTAAATGGTAGATATGAAGGCCAAGATAGTGTGGCCTTTTGTTTGGTTGCAGTCTTCTTTAGCATCTGATACCGGTGGTGGAGATGATTACGCTTCACTAAATCCACTTGTAGCGATACACTCTCAGACGACATTAGAGAAAACGAGAGTTCAGAATTGTGCGAAAAAATGCATGGGCCATGCCACGAGTGAACAGAAAATTGGTCAACAAGATTGCCTTAACTTGTCCTTTTGATAGGTTGTAATTCTGTGCTTACGATGGCGCTTCTCACTGACGATGCTGACTACGATGCCGGCGAAACGTTTGGGAATGTACCTAGCCAATGGTCCAATGCTGGAAATCACGAATACCATGGCAGAGTACACAGGACTAGGTACTTTCCACGCTACGACCAGGTTGTGAAAACAAGATCGAACCAGCCCACAGCAAGGAAAATATAATAATTTATTGGATTCACTGGCTACATTGGCAAGTCAGGACTAGATAACTGAGAAATATTGTGAAAATAATATACTGTTATTAAAAAATTCTGGAAAAAATTTAATGATCAATAAAGTTTTAAAAGAGTGCAAAAGTTGTCAAACTGCAGATCAAAAACATTTTACTAGCTAATATTAGTTGGAATTCAATCTAATGAACATATCACTTATGAAACGCACTATACTCTTTTCAGACTCCTCTGATTTTCTGTTCATGCTAAAAATTATGAAGGAGAAATCCGAGTCTGAAAGAGATTATATGTGGAAGAGGAAGTTGTCATGAGTCAATTTGCATAAGTAGGTATTTCAAGATAGAATCAACATGTATTTATTTCTCCAAATCTATATTAGTTGATTCGGTGAAGAAAAAAATTAATATGAAGGAGGGCCAAAACTAAAGGCAGAATTTTACTGAAGCATACTTTTAAAAGCCTTCACATGGTACTGAGTCATTATAGGTCGGCAAAAGAGGAATTGATATCCAAAAAGGATAGATTAAGACTGTAAAAAAATGCCATGACGTACTGCCATGACTTGAAAATAGCCTTGTAATCGGGTGGTGAAATAGGCAGGCGGACTCCAACAGAAGCGGGAGTCCCAGGGCCCCCAGGTCCTGAATGAGCCGAAGTGACGTTTGACCCACTCAGACCACCGGATACTCCGCCAACTCCAGATACTGTTGCACCACTTCCGGGGCCGCCAAGGCCAATAGAAGCGACACCGCCAAGCGACCCTGGAGAATTGAGGATATGAGAGCAGTACTGGGCCAGCAGAAGATTACCTTCCGTAACCTCGATAGCACGATGACAAGCCTACAGAGGAATGTCAAATAAATGAATTAAGATGTAAATGGAGACTAGATATCGTCAGAGGTGTGAAATGGGATAGAAAAGGCATTAAATGGGCAAGGATGAGCGGCCAAAATACTAGATTCTTATTTCGTTATTGAGTAGGTTTTTGAGACTATAAGTAAATCGGATATATGGGAAAATTCACCTACCAGTCCTTTATCACCTCAAAAACGAAGTATGATGAACACAGCTCATATATCAGATTCTTAGTTATAAGCGCAAGAGAAATGGAAAATTTGTCCGTGAAGGCTAGTCATACAAGACCCAAAAAGTAGGCTAAATAAAAAGCAAATTGAAAAAGATATCATAAATATTAAGATTTAGGAAGCTCACAATGCTCTATCCTTCAGTACGGTAGAAGGTCAGAACAAAAGCTTTATAAGAATTGCTTTCATACTATTTCGTTTAAGTTGATGAGTGATTGGAAGTTGAATTTTCCAACAATACTATGAGTAGAGCTGATTTTTTCCATTGAAATTGAGTTACAGGGCAGATGTGAATTTCAAGGAATGTCGGACATTTTGCATATTAAATTCTATGGCACTCGTAGAAAGGTGGTGTAGTGGTTAATGTGTCGAGCTTACACGCTGCACTTTCATGCTTAGACTCCCGCTTAGGGTGTTGATAAGACCTATGCGAGATCGAAACTGCAGTCCATTCTGGATTAGAACACTTTTTGGGAAGACAAGGCTATGTGAATTTCAATGGAAAACATCAGCTCTACTTATATAATTGTGAGAGAGTTCAACTACCGTTCCGTCATCACCTTAAATGAAATAGGGTGAAAACAACTCATATATCTTATTTACTGCTAGTCTCGTAAATCTACTCACTCACGGACAAAGGTTTTATAGTTGAATTATGGATCAAACTATGAGACTAATAAAGAGAGTACAAAATGATGCGCAATATCAACATTCTTACAGTGTTATCATAAATGGCATGAGTAATCTGCGCTAGATATTGATCTTTGAATGTTAATAACTTAATGTAAACAATTTGGTCGCAAAATTCAAACAAAAATAAAAGTTTTGGTTTGGCCTACTAACTGAAAATCAAAGAGCAAATGTGTGGTTTTTTATAGGCTAAGCAATAAATGGAGAGCCGAGAAGGGAAGGAATAAGCTTAATAATCCACGTAGACTTAATGCGTAGATCTAGCGACAGCAAAATAAAGAGGATAAAAAAATCATTTACCAAAAAAAGATAAAAATTCATACAATGAAAATTTTTTCAGAGGTTGTTTGACCTTGTTTTCGCAGCATGGTCATAGGAAGACTTAGAGGAACTTACCTAGTCTGTAGTCCATTGCCTGCATGATCATTTCCAAAGTTGAACCGTGGACGTGGTACATTCCCAAACGTTTCGCCGG